CGTTCATTATCTCCCCAAAGATACAACACATTCAACTCAAACTTGACATATGGATATGTCATGAGAAAATACAGGTCAAGATCGATTTTGGTCGTGGTTCGATGATTTTTGGCAGAGTTATGCCCCTTTTACTTTGAAAATAATATGAAATTTTCAGTTTCCGTTCATTATCTCCCCAAAGGTACAACACATTCAACTCAAACTTGACATATGGATGCGTCAAAGGAATGTGCAGGTCAAGTTCAAATTTGGTCATGGTTCAATGATTTTTGGCAGAGTTATGCCCCTTTCACTTTGAAAGTGATATAAAATTTTCAGTTTCCGTTTATTATCTCCCCAATGGTACAACACATTCAACTCAAATTTGACATATGGGATATGTTTTTGGAATGCCCAGGCCAAGTTCGAGTTTGGTCATGGTTCAATGATTTTTGGCAGAGTAATGCCCCTTTCACTTTGAAAATAATATGAAATTTACAGTTTCTGTTCATTATCTACCCAACAGTGTTACATATTCAACTTAAATTTGACATATGGATATGTCAAAGGAATGGGCAGGTCAAGTTGGAATTTGGTCATGGTTTGATGATTTTTTGGCAGAGTTATGTCTTTTTCACTTTGAAAATAATATAGATACATCTTAGGAATAAGCAGTTTAAGTTTGAATTTGGTTGTAGTTCAATGATTTAAGACAAACTTATCTTTCCTGAATGTTGGAAAAATTTTGAACTTTCACTTTCAGCACTCTTACTTTTAGCCATTATTTTGGCTACAGATATGCAATATGCTATTTTTAAAAGGTTTAGACTGAATAATTTCAGTGCCTTGAACATTGTATGAAAATGGTTTGTGTTAACATTGAAAAGTTTTAAGGGCTTTGAACTTAAAATGAAAAAAAATAATTAAAGCACCATCTGAAATTTTGGCTGCATGCGGGGGCATCCGTGGCATGATGACACATTTCTAGTTTTGATGATTTCTAGGTCAAGTTCAAATATGGGTCACCTGGTTTCAAAAACTAGGTCACACTGCCAAAATATGGATAAACCTTGTTAACACTCTAGAGGTCACGTTTTTGACTGAATTGTCATCAAACTCAGTCAGGATGCTTGTCTAAGACATTGCTGGGTTGAGGTCGATGGGTCAAGGGAGGGATCTAGGGCCATCTTGGCCCTCTTGTATAATTTGTCAGAACGACTCCTATTATACCAATCATGCAATTATAATGAAACTTTACAGGATTGTTTGATGGCTAAAAGTCTTGTGCATATTACACAGGTTTTTAGGTTGAATGATTTTTTGCGCATGTATGGCTATCATGAGGCGACACATGTCACCACTGATGGCCCTTGTTGACATAAGGGTTAAGCCCCTTGGACTTAGAAAAATGCCAATTATTTGCAGTTTTCATTAATTTTCTTTGCAGAAATAATGCACTTACTGAAATGAAATTTGGTATACAGATTTATCATAAGAATATGTAGGTCAAGGTTTATGAGCAATATTTTTATGCTCCCCGAAAAAATTTCGGGGGAGCATATAGTCGCCGCCTTGTCCGTCCGTCCGTCCGTCTTTCCGTCCGTCCGTCCGTCCGTCCCCTTTTCTTGTCCGGGACATAACTTTGAAACAACAAGAGGTATCAACATGAATCTTTGTAGGCAGATAGATCTCATTGAGAAGGTGTGCAGTGCACAAGATCCGTAATTTTGCCTTGCCTAATTTTTGAATTATTCCCCTTTGTTTTTTTTACACTTTGAACATTGTCCGGAACATAACTCTAAAAGTATAAGAGGTATCAACATGAAACTTTGTAGGTAGATAAATCTCAATGAGTAGGTGTGCAGTGCACAAGAACCATAACTCTGCCTTGCCTAATTTTTAATTATCCGCCTTTATTTATTTTACACTTTGAACTTTGTTCGGGTCATAACTCTAAAGCTATAAGAGGTATCAACATGAAACTTTGTAGGTACATAGATCTCATTGAGTAGGTGTGCAGTGCGTAAGAACCGTAACTATGCCTTGCCTAATTTTTGAATAACCCCCTTTGTTTTTTTTACACTTTGTCCTCTGTCCGGGACATAACTCTAAATGTATAAGAGGTATCAACATGGATCTTTGTAGGTAGATGGGTCTCATTGAGTAGGTGTGCAGTGCACAAGAACGTAACTCTGCCTTGTCTTATTTTTGAATTACCCCCTTTGTTTATTTTACACTTTGATCTTTGTCCGGGACATAACTCTAAAAATACAAGAGGTATCAACATGAAACTTTGTAGGTAGATAGATCTCATTGAGTAGGTGTGCAGTGCACAAGAACGGTAACTCTGCCTTGCCTACTTTTGAAGTTATTGCCCTTTGTTCATTTTGACACTTTGACTTTGTCTGGGACATTACTCTAAAACTATAAGAGATATCAACATGAAACTTTGTAGATAGATAGGTCTCATTGGGTGGAAGTGCAGTGCACAAGAACCGTAACTCTGCCTTGCCTTATTTTGAAGTAATTGCCCTTTGTTTAATTTTTTACTTTTTGACTTTGTCCTGCGACAATACTTTAAAACTATTAGAGATATCAACATGAAACTTTGTAGGTAGCTAGATATAATTGGATAGAATTGCAATGCTTAAAGAACCTAAACAAAGCCTGGTCTAATTTTGGAGTTATTGCCCTTTGTTCATTTTTACACTTTGACTTTTACCTGGGACATAATTCTGATATCATCAGGAAACTTTATAGATAGATAGATCTCATTGAATAGAAGTGCAGTGCAAAAAAACATAACTCCGCTTTGCCTAATTTTGGAGTTTTTGCCCTTTGTTCATTTTTTTTATACTTTCCTGTGTCCAGAACCTTCTCGGGGAGCATCACCCGGTTCAACCGGTTCTTGTTGACAGAGTTATGTCCTTTGGACTTAATAAATTTTACAATTGATTGCTCTCTATTCACTATCTCTGGCCAAATTAATTACTTATTATGCCCCCACTTCGAAGAAGAGGGGGTATATTGCTTTGCACTTGTCGGTCCGTACGGTCCGTCGGTCTGTAGACCAAATGGTTTCCGAGTGATAACTAAGGGGTCAAAGGTCAAGGTCACATTGACCTTGTAGGTAAAAACGGTTTCCGATCAATAACTAAAGAACCCTCAGGCCTAGAAACTTCAAACTTTGTATGGTGATTGGTCATAACCAGCAGATGACGCCTATTGATTTTGGGGTCAAAGGTCAATGTCACATTGACCTTTGAGGTATAAACGGTTTCCGATCAATAACTAAAGAACGCTTAGGCCTAGGAACTTCAAACTTGGTAAGATGATTGGTCATGACCAGCAGGTGACCCCTATTGATATTGGGGTCAAGGGGTCAAAGGTCAAGGTCACATTGACCTTGTAGGTAAAAACGATTTCTGATCAATAACTAAAGAACGCTTAGGCCTAGAAACTTCAAACTTTGTATGGTGATTGGTCATAACCAGCAGATGACGTCTATTGATTTTGGGGTCAAAGGTCAAGGTCACATTGACCTTTTAGGTATAAACGGTTTCCGATCAATAACTAAAGAACGCTTAGGCCTAGGAACTTCAAACTTGGTAAGATGATTGGTCATGACCAGCAGGTGACCCCTATTGATATTGGGGTCAAGGGGTCAAAGGTCAAGGTCACATTGACCTTGTAGGTAAAAACGATTTCTGATCAATTACTAAAGAACGCTTAGGCCTAGGAATTTCAAACTTTGTATGATGATTGGTCATGACCAGCATATAACCCCTATTGATTTTGGGGTCAAAGGTCAAGGTCACATTGACCCTTTAGGTAAAAACGGTTTCCGATCAGTAACTTAAAGAGGCTTAGGCCTATGTACTTCAAACTTGGTATGATGATTGGTCATGACCAGCAGATGGCCCCTATTGATTTTGGGGTCAAGGGGTCAAAGGTCAAGGTCACATTGACCTTGTACGTAAAAACGGTTTCCGATCAATAACTAAAGAACCCTTAGGCCTAGGAACTTCTTACTTGGTATGATGATTGGTCATGACCAGTAGATGACCCCTATTGATTTTGGGGTCAAGGGGTCAATGTCATATTGACCTTGTACTTAATGACCGTTTCTTACCAATAACTCAACAACTCAAGTTGCCTTGGTTGATATTTTTATGTGCTTTTGGTATACACATTTGAAGGTCTTATGTAATATAACAACTTGGCTGTCATTAATGAGGCCTATGTGATTCATAAAATTTATGTATATATTAATTGGTAAGATTTTTAATAACTTTAATTGCTGCACACAACCTATGGGGTCACAATAATTATTACCTTGTGACTAGTCATGACCAGTAGATACTTGATAACCCTTATTAATTGCTTGTTCACTGGGTCAGAAGTCATGCATAATAACCTGATCACATGACAAATTGGCTGCCGATAGGGGGCATACATGTTTTACAAACATATCTTGTTTGATAATGCTCAGCTATCAGAACTTATGGGAAGATATAAATTAATCAATATAAAATCTGTTAAAACTCATATCCAGGGCTCATGTTTAGATAATTTATATCTAGCATTATACTTGCTAAACACATGCCATGTCTGCTTTACACATATTACTCGGACCAATGCTATGTCACTCTGTAACTACAGAGGTCATATGATTAAAGGAAATAAAGAATGCAATAAAAAATAAGATTGTTGAATATGTTTATTAATAATAATTTATAATTAAGAAGTGTAGTCAAACCTATGTAATGGTCTATATGTCATCCATAGGTTTGTGCTATTTATAGTTCAAAAACATTTTTGCTAAGACATTTCATACTTGATATTTTGTTGCATCTCAGAAAGTACCGATAGATGACTAGGTTGTTGCATCTCAGATAGTACCGGTAGAGACCCCTTTTGATTTAAGTTCAAAAGGTAAATTTCATTTCCATGTACACTGCGTAAAATATACACTGGCGTGAGAGGCATAAGTATTTTACAAACATCTCTTGTTTCATTAGAATTACTACAGAAAGATGATACAGTTCAACTATACTCTAGCTCAGATTCTTCAGAATCCATTGTAGAGACCATTCCATGTGAAGACCTGGATGAACAAATTAGAGAGTGGGAAAATTCTTCAACTTCTTCTATGACCAGTATAACACATATTGCAGATGATAAGGAAAAAAATATTAAATTAGACACAGTTTCTGAAGGAATAGGTGTATGTCCTTTACAAGGGACTGATTGTGTATCTGGTCGTAAAGTTGACAATGCTGCTAAAATACCTCAGACTCAAATTGCCAGAGGTAAAGAAGAAAATAAAGTTCCAGAGACACTGGATTTCAGCATAGAGAAAGTTGGTAATAGATTTATACTTAAATGTAACAATCTTGTAGTAAAAGTCCCACAGCTGGAAGGAGCTTCAGGTGTGAGTGTATACAAAGATTTTATTTTGATTGATAATGAGCCTATATATAATATAAAAATAGAAAATGGAAAAGTAAAGATATCTAAAATAGGAGATGCTGAATGTGAAGTTAATAGAATTGACAACAATAGCACAAACAATTCAGGAAACAATGAAAGTGGCCTATATGTAGAAAGTCAGCAGCCTCAAAATGTTGAAGAAGAATTAGACATTAAAAAAGTAAGGGGAACAACTCAAGATATGCAGAATGTTTTAAATCAACCACAAGAGAATGGAACAAATCCATGGAACCATCATGATACAGTGGCTGATGTCAAACATACTGGCTCATTTGATGCTGATGTATTGAAAGAAGGAGGGAAAACAGCTTTTGGTGAGATAATTTTCCAGCTTGAAAATATAGACATAGATGGTATTCATTCATTAAACAATGCATGCATGTAAAATATGATGCATGCCTTAAATTAACAAAGCTGTGGATCATTGAATGTATTGCAAATCTGTAAAAGAATTATAATATAATGTACAAAGAATGTTTTTGTTAGTGACTGTTGTTTGAATTTCTTCTGTTTTTGTTTTGATGAACAACTTAGTTTGAATATATGATTTATTAGAATAAAAAGTTACAAAAAAAAATTCTGATAAACAGTTATAATCTTGTATCGAAAGATTCATTTATTTTTAATTTGTAGATATTACGAGAGAACAACAGCAGTCATTAGAAGAAGCAGTATCTAAAGACGAAAAACCACCTAAACCAGCAGCTAGATCAACAATTAAAAGTATGCTTTGTCCACTTTTTAGCTCACCTGTCACGAAGTGACATGGTGAGCTTTTGTGATTGCTTTTCGTCCAGCCGTCCGGCGTCCGGCCGTAAACTTTTACTTTTAACAACATCTCCTCATAAACCTCTTAGCCAATTTCATCCAAACTTCACAGGAATGTTCCTTTGGTAGTCTACTTTAAAAAATTGTTCAAAGAATTTAATTCCATGCAGAACTCTTAAAAAATCTTCTTTTAAAAACCTGAAAGAGCTTAAGAGCTTAAATATTTGGCATAAAACATCATCTAGTCAGTGTCTACCAAGTTTGTTCAAATAAATGCCCAAGGGTCAAAATTGATTTTTCTTATTTGTATATAGAAAAAACTTAAAAAATCTTCTTTTGAAAAACCAAAATAGCTAGAGCTTAGATATAAAGCATGAAACATCTTCTAGTGGGTGTCTACCAAGCTTGTTCAAATAAAAGCCCTGGGGTAAAAATGGCCCTGTCTCAGAGGGGTCATTGATTTTTCTTATTTGTATAAAGTAAAATAGTAAAAACTTAACAAAATCTACTTTTGTAAAACCAAAATATCTAGAGCTTAGATATTAAACATTAAAAATTGTTTAAATTATAGCCCTAGGGTCAAAATTAACCCCGCCCGAGGGGTCTTTGATTTTCATTATATACATATAGTAAAATCTTCTTGTAAGAAACAGAAAGACCTAGAGCATAGATATTTGCCATGAAACATCTTCTAGTAGGTGTCTACCAAGTTTGTTCAAATAAAAGGCCTGGGGTCAAAATTGCCCCGCCCCAAGGGCCATTGTTTATCCCCTTATGTATATAGTAGTAATTTAATAAGTCTTCTTTTGATAACCCAAAGAGCTAGAGCTTATATATTTATCATGAAACATCTTCTGATGTGTATCTACAGTGCAACTTCCGAATTCCGGAACTTCTAAAATCCGGAAACTTCTAAAAACCGAACAATTTTTTCGGTCCCGATTTTCCCCCTTCTATTTTCTATTAATATAATACTTCTGAATTCCGGAACTTCTAAATTCTGAATTCCGGACGATATTTTCATAAAATTAGAGTCAAATCAATGCAATTTTACCTCCAAAAACCGGAAATATCCAAAGGTGTGACATACATTGTAAATCGAGAATGTTTACCCTGCAGGAAGATTTAATCTCCCTATCGATTGTTTACTAATTAGCGGTGATCGTGTAATTTGACACGCATTAAAATCACAAACTGTGAAATGGTATGTTTGAAGTGATGGGTTAATCAAAGTAATTTACTGTGGTCAGTTAATTTGAAGTGTTTATTAGCGGATTAAATGACAATTAATTGGACAATGTATGCATCAAACGTCTTTAGGGATTTTATTGCATTTGATGTAATAATTAATTAACTAGCATCGGACGATATGTAAGTTTATGCAATTAACAACATTTCTACAAACTGATAGAAATTCAAAAGCATTTGCAGGTAAGATAAAAATGTATTCTTTTCATGCACATCTTTATCTTGATTAAAAGACTATTATATATGATATTACAGTAATGGCCACATCTTCCTTGACATTTAGTTATATTAAGTGGCTTAGTCTTGTCCACATTATCATAAACCTCTGAATTCCGGAAACCTCTGAAATCCGAACTTTTTGACAAGTCCCATGGGTGTTCGGTTTTCGGAAGTTACACTGTACCAAGATTGTTCAAATAAAAGCCCCTGAGTTAAAATTGGCCCCACCCTTGGGCCTATAATCAGGTGAGCTATATCAGGGGCATCATGGCCCTCTTGTTCATTGACCTAGCATTACAAACATGGTTTTGTGTTTTTGGCTGAAGATAGTAATCATTTAGCTTACATTTGGTCTGTAGCAGTTGATATAATTGGTGTTTAACATAGTTTGAGAAGAAATAAAGGCAAATTGTTCTTCAAACACTACCCTCCAACAACATTTGCAAATGAAATCCATGTGTTTGTAGTTTCATATATTTCAAAATTTAAATTATTTGAAAGTTTATATTTGACTTTTGGTGATTGGAATGGAGACACATACAGTCACTGTTTAGTCTGTCTGTCAATTCACCTGTCCCTCTGGATCCATGCCTCAGAATCCCTCCATCCAGTTCTCTTGAAACTCTGCTGGGATGTTTATATGAATAGGAATTTGGTGATCACCAACTTTTATCAAGGTCATATTATTTCATTTTGCCTTATAATGTTCATATTAGTTTTTCGTTTAAGGATCCGATTCATTCTTTGTCATTATTTTATTGTTAATTAATTAATTAGTATGAATTAAAATGGACAAATTTGATTAATACTTGGACATAAGATCACAAATGACAACACTAACATGTTGAATGATTTAGATATGACCTTAATCTGTAAATGACCTTAACTGTCAATTTTAATTTATTTTATTTTATACAAGAAAAGAGTGTTTTCTTGGAGCATTCATTACTTCAATATTCTTCCTCAGATTTGTTTGAATTTCAAAGTTTTCTAAAGCTGTAATTTGATGTAAGATTATGTGGAGATCTCAAATGGGTTTTTGTGTTTCCTGCTACAGAGTAGCAGACATACATAGGGATCACTTCTCTGTCTTTCATATCTCCATCCATCACAAAATTTGTGGTATACTTTCTTGTGTCAAAACCTATTCAGGGAGCATCACCTGGTTCAACCGGCTCTTGTGTTAATTTTGAGGTCACAGTTACACTTTGTGTAAATTCCTTGTCTTTGACAATAGCTTAAGAAGCTATGAGCCAAAATTTATGAAACTTTCCTCATGGTCTTTGGGAAATTCCTAGATTCCCCACATACTGGATTTCAAAAATATAGGAAAAAATATAGTATCTTAAATGCCCAGAGTAAAGAATCTTTAATGCTTATAAAGGTTATTTAGTGTGTCTTCAATGCTGAGGCTAAAGATAATTGAAATGTTTCAAAGTAGATATCTATAAATGTTAAATACTTCATGTTGTTTGAGTAAAATAAATATGTCATAAAATGGCCCATTTATTTAGAAATAATCACCATTAATGGGAATAAATATCAAGTGAGAAATCAAGGGTAAGTTTGGCCCTTTGTTTGTTTATATTCTTAATTAGTCCCCTACCGGTTTACCGGAGGGGACTTTAGGTTTACCCTCCGCCCGTCTGTCTGTCAGTCCGTCCGTCCGTCCACAAAACTGGATCCCGCGATAACTTGAAAAGTACTGAAAATATTTTTATGAAACTTGATATATGGATAGATGGCAGTTATATGGAGATTATGCATGTCTTTTTCTTTTCTTCCTATGTTGAAAATTCTGGTTGCTATGGCAACAAATAGGCTTAAAATATGGCAAATTTTACACATGAACTGGATCCAGTGATACGCAAAAAGTACTCGAAATATTTTTATGAAACTTGAAATATGGGTAGATGGCAATCTGGAGATTATGCACGTCTTTTTCTTTTCTTCCTATGTTGAAAATTCTGGTTGCTATGGCAACAAATAGACTGAAAATATGGCAAATTTTACACATAAACTAGATCCTGTGTTAACGCAAAAAGTAATAGAAATATTTTTATGAAACTTGTAATATGGGTAGATGGTTGTCTGGAGATTATGCACGTCTTTTTCTTTTCTTCCTATGTTGAAAATTCTGGTTGCTATGGCAACACAATGACTAAACAAATGGCAAATTTTACACATACACTGAATCCAGTGATAACTCAAAAAGTACTGGAAATATTTTTATGAAACTTGACATATGGGTAGATGGCAGTCTTGAGATTATGCATGTCTTATCTGTTCTCCCTATTTTGAAAAAATATTGGTCGCCTTGGCAACAAATAGGCTTAAAACATGGCAAATATAACATTATTTGTGATTAGTCAAAAAGAGCTGAAATTTTTTTATGAAATTGCATCTTTAATTCAAGAGTTATCTCTTTAAGAATTTTGCTTTTAAAAATGTTATATTTGGTAACAGGGATGTTTCAAATATTAACTTTAGAGTGTCCTTCAGTCCGTCTGTCTGTCTGTTCATAAAAACTGTTTCCTGTGATCACTTTTAAAGAACTTTTCCAACAAATTTACTTAAAATATAGAAAAATTGAAACATTAGTTGATTAGTTGATGGGGTTCTAACCGGTAGGGGACTTATGGATTGCTTGCAATACTATGATAATTGCTTGTGTTTAAAAGGAAATTTATATTACATATAATTGTTTGTGTGAGGCAGTTCCTAGACAATGGGCCCTTAATGTTTACATTTTAGAGAGCTAAATGTATATTGAAAACAAAACTGAAACATTTCTTGATTCTGTCACTATTTTAATACCCCCCCCCCCCCGAAACGAAGTGGGAGGATATATAGCAGTCACTGGTCCAGCAGTCAATTTCAATTTTCCTTGTCCAGAGCATAACTTGAAGACGAATGGTTGGAATTCAATACAACTTCACACAATGTTCAAGCACATTGAAAGGTAGTGCAGTGCACAGGAACCATAACTCCATCTTGACTTATTACAGAGTTATTGCCCTTTGTTACTTTTACTTTACTTTTCCAGAGTATTGCTTGAAAACTACTGGTTCAGGGTTGCCAGCGGACTTGAAAAGTCAGGGAAATGTGTTATTTTTTCAAGATCAGGGAATTGTCAGGAAATTTTGAAAATTGGTCAGTGAAAAATAAAAATCCAAATAAGTCAGGGAAAAGTCAGGGAAAAATAATTTTGAAGGACAAAATTTTTTTATTAATTGTTTGTTTATGGCAGTCTTGAGTTTCTGGTCAAGTCGAGAAGTCTCGAAAGAAAAAAAAAAGAGCTAGATATAGAAATGAAAAATGTTGAACATCTTCAAAAGACATTGAAGGTTTGAAAAGTGTTAGTGATGTCTTGATGTATTGGATGTATGAATTTGACCGCACCTAAAAATGAGCTCCTCATTATTTTTACATAGCTTTTGCTGTATGCTATTATAGTTTTATATTTGTGTTTTATTTTACATAACTAT